CTATGAGATCTTAAAACAAAAAACACCTAACTTGGGGTATTTTCATCCTTTTGGATGTAAATGTTTTATACTAAACACCAAGGATCACCTATATAAGTTTGATTCAAAATCAGATCAAGGAATTTTCTTAGGTTACTCACTTAAAGGGCAGGCCTACAAAATCTACAATCTCAGGTCCAAAAGGGTTGAGGAGTCAGTATTTGTGAAATTTGATGAACTGGAAGTACTAACAAAGTTTCTGTAGACAGTATAGATCTTTTATTTCTAGTGTCAAATGAAAGGGAAATGTCTGAAGAACATTGTAAAGATCTACCTCAAGAAACAATCAAGGAGGACAAAGATGAAACAAGTGATGAGTTAAAAATAGACGAAGAAAAGAAAGCTCCTCCACACATCCAGAAGAGACATCCTTCTTCACAAATTATTGGACAACTCAATGCAGGCATTCATACCAGAGGTAAGTACCAACCAGGTCAGTACGCCTTCGTTTCTCTGTTAGAACCTAGAAATGACAAAGAAGCCTTATTAGATGATAAATGGTTGGATGCTATGCAAGCGGAACTTATACAGTTTGCTAGATTACAAGTATGGAAACTTGTTCCTCGTCCTCTAAACAGACTAATCATTGGTACAAAATGGGTTTTTAGAAACAAAACAAATGAGGAAGGGGAAGTTACTAAAAATAAAGCCATACTTGTGGCTTAGTGGTATTTACAAGAAGAAGGAATAGATTTTGAGGAATCATTTGCCCCTGTTGCACGAATTGAATCAATTAGAATGTTATGTGCTTATGCATGCTTCATGAAAATTCCCATGTTTCAAATGGACGTAAAGAGTGCATTTTTAAATGGAGAACTAAAAGAAGAAGTGTATGTGAGCAAACCACCTGGTTTTATTGATCACAAATACCCTGACCATGTTTACAAACTGTCAAAAGCTTTATATGGGCTAAAACAAGCTCCTAGAGCATGGTATGAAAAACTGTCCTCGTTCTTGACATCAGAAGGTTTTAATCAAGGAAATGTTGACAAGACACTCTTTATCAAGAAAGAAAACACTGATACACTAATAGTGCAAATCTATGTAGATGACATAGTCTTTGGATCAACTAATCCATCTGTGAGCACTAAATTTTGTGAAATGATGAAGTCTGAGTTTGAGATGAGCATGATGGGGGAATTATCTCACTTTCTAGGGCTACAAATTAAGCAGCTAGACTCAGGAATATTCATCAGTCAAACTAGTTACACTGAATCGATACTTAAGAAATTTGACATGAATTCAGTCAATACTAGCACAACTCCTATGGCTACTAACTTAAAACTAGACAAGGATGAGGGAGGTATACCTTTTTGTGAAAGAAAATACAGAGGAATGATAGGGTCTCTTCTTTACCTAACGGCCATTCGACCTGATATCCAATTCAGTGTAGGGTTGTGTGCTAGATTTCAATCCAATCCCAAAGAAAGTCACTTCAAAACTATTAAAATAATATTTAGGTACCTCAAAGGAACCATAAACATTGGATTATGGTATCCTAAATCCGACTCATTTGAGTTAATCGGGTACAGTGACTCAGACTTCGGAGGAAGCCTAGTAGATAGAAAAAGTACTACTGGAACTATTCAACTACTTGGTTCTTCTCTTGTGTCCTGGTTTAGTAAAAAACAAGGGGCAGTAGCACTCTCCACTGCTGAAGCAGAATATATGGCTGCTGGGAGTTGCTGTGCTCAAATAATGTGGATGAAAGCACAACTTCCTGACTATGGTTTCAAATTAAAAAACATCCAAGTATGATGTGACAACACAAGCGCAATAAGCATGACAAAAAATCCACTCCAACACTCAAGGACTAAGCACATTGAAATAAAGTATCATTTTATTAGAGAACTTGTTCAAGCTGGTCATATCGAACTACAATTCGTAGCAACTGAATATCAGTTGGCAGATTTACTCACAAAACCCTTGGCCAGTGAACGATTTCTACAACTCTGCACAGAATTAGGCTTAAAATCCTTATGTCAGATTGAAAATCTTCCAAAGTAAACATCTTATTGGATTTCTATATTGCATGCATTGGTGCAGCAAGGAATGATTATAAACTTCTCAACCAAAAATAAAAAATAAACGAGCTGATTGGTTCTTTTCCCTCAGTACTTTTTGCGTGTCTTGGTTTAACCAAAATAAACGCTCCATTTCGGCTCATGCCTGCCTTGACTAACACATCTATATTTCTAGCTTAATCATTCACTTTAAAACTTTGTCTGCGGGAAACTCTTCACCTTCTCCTCCTCTCCTTTCTCTATATAAAGCTACATTATCCATCTTCTCTTCTCACATTGCCCCACTCAAAATCAGTTTCATCAAACACCGAGAGAAAGCACAAACCATGAGCCTTTGAACAATATGAGTGATCATCTTCCACGCCCTTTCCGCTTTGATGGACTAGTCCACACATTCTCTGGATACATGTTCCATGAGCCTTTAGTGGTCAACCATCATCGCTATCTGCAGCACTTCGACAAGAGAAGGCTGCATCATATCACTCAACTCAATCCTTATGAGTTCAACCTCTATAAATATGACATTGTGTCACTTATTGAGGGTCTCGGATGGGATTTCCTTCTTCGTCAGCCAGTGCATCCTACCTGTCCTAGTGTTGTCAAATACTTCTACTCCAATCTCAAAAGCCAAGGAATCAGCTCTCGAAGTCTTACTACTCTGGTGTATGGTCACCTTTTGACCATACCTGTCGATGCTATGAATGGGATCCTGGGATTTCCCTCTCAAGGTCTCGGCATTGCTTATCCCTATGAGTTCTGGAAACATGAATTCAAGGTTGAAGTGGAATATGGAAATTTCTCCACTGAGCCAACTGGAGGATCATATGTCCCTATTCCAGTGTCCTGGCTACCTCCTCGACTAAGGATATTTCATCACTTTCTTACTCATATCCTCTTCCCACGATCCTTTAATCATGATCGAGTTCTTCACATGGACTTATGGATAATTACCAGTGCAACTGCACGATGCAAGCTAGATTATTCAAGCATAGTGTTTGGCCAACTTCTCCTTGTTGGAGATGAAAACTACAGAGGGCTGGTGCCATTTGGGTCACTGATCACTCGCTTACTGATCAACCTCAGGGTAGATCTATCTGAGTTTCGAAGCGTTTCCTCTACCATGTACATCAGTGCGCTTAATGTGCTGATGGTGCTGGATCTTCCCACTGACATTTCTCCTCCCCCTCTTCCTTCTACCTCTCTTCTCGGGCCTCCTCCTAAGCCCGCTGCAGTCAAAAGAACCAAGTCAGTGGGTGAACCCAGCAAAACTGGGGATCTGGTTTTCACCATCTCTGAAGGAGAATCTTCCTCCGATGACTCTGCCGCCACTGCTCCTGCCTCATCTCCTGCTTCTTAGTCCTCTTGCTGTCGTTTAGTCTTTTGTTGTTCTTTTAGTAGGTTGTATTCCTTTAGTTAGGGGGAATCTTGCTCTTGCTCTATTTTGGGTATGTTGTTCAGGGGGGGATTTTGCTTAGGACCTTGTCCTGACATTTTGTACTGCTGTTCTCTACTGGGAACACAATTTGTTGTACTTCTTTTCTTAATCAATGCATTTGCTTTTTCCCCCTGAAATGCTTGTACTCTTGTTTTTCGTGTGTTCTGTTTTGCAGAGACTTCTCGGATGAAGGGGGAAATTGTTGACCCTGAAACGACGTTGCATCTATATAAAATGGAGCATTCTGGTTTCGCTGCCCATCTCGTTGTTATCTCTCTGCACAACGACACCGTTTCAATATATCATCCTTCGAAGTCAAGAGGAGGACTCCTCAATTGATGATCTCTCTGATCATCTCTCTCGATCATCTCCTTTCCAACGGACGCTTCAGCTTTTCAACGCCTACTCCACCTAGCACCGGCTCTATGAGGATGTATGATGAAGGCTATGGAAGGCTCCCATTTAGGCAACGGTCATCTACTGCTAACAATATAAATTGTAAGCCTTCTACTTATTTGAATCTTGTACTTTGATAGTAAGTTGAGAGAGCTTCTGGGTTTGAATCTCTTCTGCTTTGGGTCAAAGATTGTAATTGCTTCGGTAGATAGGATCACAGTGTATGGAGTGTACTGGGTGATTCCAATCTTGGGAAGTGAGGGTATTGAGTGATTGTTTCTTAAAAGAGCCAAGTCACTTGGCTTGGCTAGGGTTCTCTGTGTTGTTCGACTTTCATTTGCAAAATAAATAAAAGTTTCTTTCCTTTTCTTCACAAGAGATCATCTTAGAAAAGCAATAATCCAAATCTCTTGTTGAGTGCATCTCACTTTTTGACTCTACAGAAGAGATCATCTTAGAAAATCAATAATCCAAATCTCTTAAGTAGGACATATGCTATGCAATATATGAATGCACAGAATTTAGATAAGTTCATAAATACATGCGATTCATGTTTAAAGTAGAGCAACTTATAGCATCTTAATAATAAGTTCGTAAACATAAATTTTAACGATAAGCCACTTTTCCCTCTATGCTAATGAATTTGGGAAAACCCTAGCTGGTGAATTAGATTACTCTATTGAAGTTGAGAATGCATCCAAGTACCTAGTATGTATCTTTTAATCTCAAATGTATCATATTGTTAGTGATTTACTTTAAAAATATACTTTTTATAATTAATTTCATGAAATGAATACTCATTTAGTGAACTAAAAGCGTAAAAACGTAAAGCGTTTTGGTGAACTAGAACCGTAAAACCATAAGTTTTTAAGCTTTAAAGCACAATTTAGTCCGATTTTATACATTTAAGTTTTTATATGGAAACGAAAGCGTTTTGGTGACCCAAAAGCGTAAAATCGTAAGTTTTTAAGTTTCAAAGCGTGATTTTGACTGCATTGTGTATAACTATAACACAATGGACAAGATTAAGGAATTTGAAGCTCATACAGATTATATCAGAAGTCTTGTTGTCCATCCAACGCTACCATATGTTTTGTCTGCATCCGATGACATGCTTATTAAACTTGGACTGGGAAAGGGGTTGGATGTGCACTCAGATATTTGAAGGCCATTCACATTATGTTATGCAAGTAACATTTAATCCCAAAGATACCAATACTTTTGCCAGTGCAGAGATGTTAGCATTAATATGAAAATACTTTTGCCATTCACACCGTAAAGGTTGGGCAGAAAAGGCAGTTATCTTATGTTTTTTTTTCGGAGATTGGTGAAGCTATGCAGAGATGTTAGCATTAATATGAAAATATTTTTGGAGTTTGCAGATTTGGAACATTCGTTCTCTTGACCCAAACTACACTTTGGAAGCCCATTCAAAGGGAGTGAATTGTGTAGATTATTTCACTCATGGGGATAAGCCTTATTTGATCACCGATTCAGATGATCAAACAACTAAGGTTGACTTGCTTATTTCCCTTTCTTATATATGTCCTTTTAATGTGTGGCTGGGTTCATCAAGAACATGTACTTTAGCTGGAGATGTTTATTTTTCCTTTGAACAGGTATGGGACTACCAAACAAAGAGTTGTGTGCAGACGCTTGAGGGGCACACCCTCAATATTTATGCATTCTGCTTCCATCCTGAGCTTCCCATTATATTCACTGCTTCCGAGGATGGGACGGTGAGAATATGGCAAGCCACCACTTACAGGTACTTTCATGTTTTGATCAGTAGCTTAATTATAAAAAGACAAACAAGAGTTGTGGTTGTTGGAAGTGTTATTTATGTGCATAATCTGAGCTATTGAATTCCATGTTCTTGTCTGTGAGTTACATGATTCTTGAGCTGAAAGTTGGATGGTGAAGTGACTTATTTATGTTCTTCCTTGGACCTGTGTATGCTTCGCATGTCTTTTTCCCAACACATTTAATCATATTCATTCATTTCCAGGCTTGAAACTACTCTGAATTATGGACTCGAAAGAGCTTGGACCATTGAGTATATGAAAGGGTTGCGCAGGTAAAGATCTTGACTTTCTTTTTCAAGTTCCATTTGCTTGTTGAATCTTGTTGGTTCCTGCAAAGCATATGTTTTTGCAATCATTACTATGGTTCTTCATTTTCATGAGTTATAATGCTTAAATTTTCATTTTTGTTACATAAGAGTGTCACTATTCACTTCTTGCCATTATATGAAACCTTGTGATGGATGTGCGTACCTATTTATGCATTACCATTTAGAACTTATGATTGTTAATGGTCTTTGTTCCTCGTCTTTCTTTATTCTTGCAGGATTGTGATTGGTTATGATGAAGGATCTGTCATGATCAAGATTGGTAGAGAAATACCAGTGGCCAACATGTTTAGTTATGGAAAAGTTATTTGGGCCAAGCATAATGAAATACTTACAGTGAATATAAAATGTGTCTGAGCAGAAAATGAGGTTTTTATATTCTTTCCTCAAATTTGAGATCAGCTGAACTCTAAAGAGCTCTCTTAATAGGCTATACCTAAATCATTGTACCTCTGACACGCTATGACACAACTCCTAACAATGGCCAAGTGTAACCAATGAAAGGGACTGTAGTATAGTGGCTCAAGTAATAAATATCGAATCCACAGGTCTCTAGAGTTACTATTACTCAACTTCAGTTCATTATCTAGCAAACCATATTAAGATGGAAGAACTAAACCTACTCTAACAAACTACAGTTAAGGTTAATCTAATTACAGGTTGAGAACTCACTTAGGTATGATTCCCCCTAGCCACTAGCCAGATTAATTATTGATGATTTCTAACTTGTTTCACTTTCATTCACAATGCGGAGAATCCTTGACTAGACCTTGAATCTCGACTAAAGGATCCAGGCCCTCTTGAGTCGATTGCCTAGAGGGACATATTTTTCTCTAGAACAACCGATCAAGGCATTCTGAACTAGACTCCCTCTATCGAATGAGGTTCTCAATCGATACAAAGCATTGAATTGACCCTCAACTAAAGCAATCGATCCAATACCATCAATCTATGGTGCTCTATTAACCTAATCAGGTATTCGCTCTCATAGGATCAAAGCACAATCAATAAGCTCGACTAAAGCAGAATTGAATCATGAAAACGTGCATAGATTGAATAAGAACTCAAGATTATCAAGTAGGAGTACTCATACAATCATCCAATCAAACAAACATAGCTAGGGTTCCTCAAAACCTAAGGGAAGGGAAGTTACTCCAGTGAGAAGAGAGAGAATGCAATAAGAATATTTAGATGATCAATATTCAAGTCCAAGCTTGTTCCTAGAGCTTCCAAGGCGAAGAAATCCTCCAATTACACTCCAAGAATGCCCTCAAATCGCCCTCTCTCTCTCTCTCTGGTTCGTCCCTAGGGTGTTTGGAATCCAAAACCCAGCTCTCTCCCTCCAAAAACGCACAAAACATGCTTTTAACCCTGAGTTCGCGACCCGGTCGGGTATTTTTGGTTCACGACGGGGGGGCTTTCTGATACTGTCAAAAATACCCTATCAGATGGTCAAAATACTCGGTCGGGTATTTTGAAGTTCTGGGTCCCCTATCTTTGATTCTTCGTTTCTCCCTCGTTCGGACTCCAAATCAGGTGTCGTTTGATCCCAGATGCTCGTAGTCTCGTCCTCTTTTTTCTCATGACAAGTTTACATGATTATATGGTCACAAACTGAGGTATAAATCCATTCTTCTTCAATTCATACCCGAGTTTCTTCCCTCGAGTCGCCAATTGATCTCCAATTGACTTGAAACTTGCGCTTACGCTTCACTTTATGTGCTAGGACCTGAAATGTGACAAAGAAATAAAACCTAGCGTAAAATAGGCCAAAGAAGCGATAATGCAAGCTTAAAAGATCAAGAAACAAAGGGGAAAACATGTGCAAATATCAAGACATCAAATCCCCCCATACTTGACCGTTTGCCTGTCCCCAAGCAAACCTAACTCAAACCAATGCAGCTCTCCAGACCTCTATAGCAAGATGCACCCTCGATCGTTGATAGAGGATTTTCTAGATCATTTAGCAGCTTACGAGGTCAACCGACACACAAGTCATCTCATAGCTTCTTCAGCGAGAACACTAGTCTTGAGTCATCATCATGGCAAATAGTGATCAGAAGACAAATGAATCGTGGACGAATGGACTCTCAAAAACAAAAGATCATGGACTCACACTTTTAAGGTGCTCTATTTTCTTCTTTAAGATGGTTGGAACCCCTTTTTTTCTTCTTGTTTTTATGTTTTTTTTTTCTTTTTTTTTCAAGGGTTCCAACCTGTTTTTCAGAAAATGGGGGCTCCCACCTAGCAGAGTTTTTGCGGGAGCCCATCTCTTACCGGCCATGCCAAGAGCGGATGTCTCGAGCCTCGTGCGGGGGAAAGAAATGAAAGGGGGTTCGAGGTAGTAGGTGGAAATTGGGAACAGATTCTCGTCTCCCCTTACGCACTTTCGCCCTATTCGCAAGGGAGACGTTATTTTAAAGCACATTTTCGAGAACCTTTTATTTAAAAACATGATACAGGAGTCCATGACAGGTAGAGAGTCTACAACACCACACAATTCAAGGGTCCTAAGATCACTAATTCACACAATCAACAAACACAATATGAAGAAGAAATGGGACTTCTTAAATGCATCAACATCCTCCATAGTGCTACACTACCTCCCTAGGTTGTACATTACTATAGAGACTGTGAATTCAAAGCATACTGAGCAGGCAATTGAAAGGAACACGTACTTGGATCCCTCAAATCGAAATTTGGACAGTGGACTAGGCTCCAAGCACACACATACAGCCAAACATTCACACGCATACATAATCGAACATCCCCCAAACTTAAGCACGACATTGTCCTCAATGGAGGAAAGATAAGGAGTGTAGAACGAAGTTACCAGATCAAGGGTGAATGATGGTGGATGGGGCAGGCGGTGCATTCCAGGAGGAGTGAGTAGTCGGAACACAAACACCACACAAAATCTCACAAAGGTTGAGTTATTGACTCTAAAATCAAAGAACAAAACTAACTCAACCGAGGAGAAATAAAAAAATAAATGAAAACCAACTAGTTGGGTTGCCTCCCAACAAGCGCTTCTTTCACTTCATGAGCCGGACGATGGCTCCTAAGTTTCGGTCCACCCCAGAACCTATTTGAAGTTGAGGTTCTCGTCGATGAGGTGGAGTCTCAAGTCACGAACATGTGGTATGACAGGTGATGGAAGCTCGTGCACTTGATGCAGATGAAGTCTCCACCCTCGAGACCTCTTCTTCTCTTCTCTCGTCTCATTGCCCCAAACCAGATATAACAACATCGATTGACCACCATCGCGTCCACCAAGAGGGACCGATGTCGATTTGGCCTTGATCTGGCAAAGAGACACTGCAAATGGGTCCTTGCTAAGCATTTCCTCGAAGTTTGGTGGGGATATTACTTGCAACATAAGGCTGGTGCAAGCCTCTTCCACCTCAACTTTGTCCCCATCCTGGACGCCAATTTCTTCTTCAACCCCCTTCCTTCTTTAGAATTTAATTCCTCCCTTCGGAAAAGATCAAGAACTTCCTCTAATTCACTTCTGTCATCCTCCACCACTTCTTTCCTCATCCTTTCTCGCTCTTCTTATTCTAGTACGTATTGGAGAGCAAGTTGCCAAGCAATTTCTTTCATGAGATCATCTTGCATCTCCTTGCTCATGCCCACCTCTTCAAAGCTCGGTGTGTGATGTGGGAAGGTGTGGTCGGCTAAAACAGGACATTCTTGATCATGATCTTCACGGGAGCTCTCCGTGACAACTTCTGTTTGCTCCACAATGTCCTTGTAGCCTTAGTCTTCCTCCTCCTCTTCTAGTATGGTAGCAGAAGGGTGATCTTGAGCTAGTTGTGCACAAACTTGCTCAACCCGATCTGTTTGCTTTGCTGAGTGCGGAACAGTTTCCTCCGATTCACGAAGGGATGAAGAGTTAGGAGGAGCAAAAGATGGGAAAAGGAGGTACAGCTTGGATCTGGTCGTGGAGTGTAGCATGGCTCTGCAGAATGGCCCGTGAAGGCCGCCATGGCTAACTCTAGCTCCGATGGCCCTTCTGGTTGTAGGAGGAATTCTTCTCCATAAAGATATTGTTCTTGAAATGTCCAAGGGTCCGGTTGTTCTCCATAGTAAGGGGGTTGGTACTGGAACCCGAATTCATAGTCTTCTCCTCCTTGATTGCTCCAGGAAGTCTCGGGGTAATACCACTCGGACGGTGGTGGATAGCCCCAATGGTTGGAGAAGTCATGAGAATCCATGATTCAGATCTGCACCAACAAAAACAAAAACACCCAAGTGAAAAGCAAGGGTGGAAAAGAAAAGAAAAAAGCTAAAGTAACAAACTTCTGCCTTTCCTAATAATCTAGAAAGTCCCCGGCAACGACGCCAAAAACATGACTCGCTATGACACAACTCCTAACAATGGCCAAGTGTAACCAATGAAAGGGACTGTAGTATAGTGGCTCAAGTAATAAATATCGAATCCACAGGTCTCTAGAGTTACTATTACCCAGCTTTAGTTCATTATCTAGCAAACCATATTAAAATGGAAGAACTTAAACTACCTAACAAACTACAATTAAAGTTAATCTAATTACAGGTGGGAACTCACATAGGTATGATTCCCCCTAGCCACTAGCCAGATTAATGATTGATGATTTCTAACTTGTTTCACTTTCATTCACAATGCGGAGAATCCTTGACTAGACCTTGAATCTCGACTAAAGGATCAAGGCCCTCTTGAGTCGATTGCCTAGAGGGACGTATCCTTCTCTAGAACAACCGATCAAGACATTCTGAACTAGAATCCCTCTATCGAATGAGGTTCTCAATCGATACAAACCAGTGAATCGACCCTCGACTAAAGCAATCGATCCAATACCATCAATCTATGGTGCTCTATTGACCTAATCAGGTATTCGCTCTCATAGGATCAAAACAAAATCAATAATCTCGATTAAAGCAGAATTGAATCATGAAAACGTGCATAGATTGAATATGAACTCAAGATTATCAAGTAGGAGTACTCATACAATCATCTAATTAAACAAACAATGCTCGGGTTCCTCAAAACCTAAGTGAAGAGAAGTTACTCCATTGAGAAGAGAGAGACTGCAATAAGAATATTCAGATGATCAGTCTTCAAGTCATGGCTTGTTCCTCGAGCTTCCAAGGCAAAGAAATCCTCCAATTCCACTCCATGAATGCCCTCAAATCGCCCTCTCTCTCTTTGGTTCGTCCCTTGGGTGTTTCGGATCCAAAACCCAGCTCTCTCCCGCAAAAAACGCACATAACATGCTTTTAACAGCCTGCGTTCACGATCCGGTCAGGTATTTTGGGTACCCGTCAGGTATTTTTGGTTCACGACAGGGTGGCCTTCTGATTTTTTCAAAAATACC